CGTCAAAAGGTGCAAGGAATGTATGAGTTTTGAGAAGGGGTTAGAAGAGGCAGTTGGTTGGGAGGTGATCTTGTTCCTTTCTGATCAGGAAATTGGAGATGGATCCTCTTTTTCCAGAGCGATTTCTGTAGGTCAGTTACCAAACTTCAGTCACAAAACCATCTCTTGTCACATGCAAAGTATTACTTGCATTAATGTTTACTTAATGTTTTTCTTTACCCTGACTCATTTTCTTATATAAAGGAAAACTTTGTATTATTAGTTTCATGGGCTCATTCTATTTTCATTTTTCATAAATACATAATACTGAAATTAAAAACGTTCATGCAAGTTCCACACCAAAGCACTTCACACCCCACATTGCACTTGGGTAAATGATGCTGCAGATGGAGGCTTAAGGAGGGTTCGGGCCCCTCGAGTTGACAGAAGTGCAATGCCCGTGCCAGGTGCGGCTTTACGAGTGGACGACGGAGAAGGAGCTCCGCACCGAGTGCAACCACTACAACAACATCATGGCCCTGTACCTGAAGACCAAGGGCGACTTCATCCTGGTGGGCGACCTGATGCGCTCGGTGCTGCTGCTGGCCTACAAGCCAATGGAGGGCAACTTCGAAGAGGTAGTGGGGCGGGGACAGACTGCTCCCTTAAGCTGCGACCCCGCGGGTGTTTCTTGGTGGTGAGGGATAATCAAGCCCAGTGAGGGCAGAAATGTCGTCCCTGGAGCCTACATTCTGCATCCATTAAGTGTTCTTAGAAACCGCCAACAGCTCTGAGTAGGCTCCATTTCTAGGCTGAGTTGGCCAGACTGTGGGGAGAATCTCTCTGAAGGGGTGGTGGTTAAACATGGGGCAGGGCAGGCTCTTGGCCAAGTCTCAGCAATGGCTTCCATGCAAACTGCTGATTGTGTTTCCTTTTGTACCTTGTCTTTTTTAAGATTGCTCGAGACTTTAACCCCAACTGGATGAGTGCTGTGGAAATCTTGGATGATGACAATTTCCTGGGGGCTGAAAATGCCTTTAACTTGTTTGTGTGTCAGAAGGATAGGTGAGTGACCAGCTGTGGGTATGGTCTGTGGGGAATGAGGACGCTGGGTCCTCTCTCAGGCTCCGATGCTCCTCTTCACAGAGGGTTAGGGTTTCCATGAGGCAGGCAGGCCACAGAGATGAGCTCTTCAGGCTGGATCCTCTGCTGTGGAGCGGGTGGGCTCACCGGGGAATCTGTCCGCTGCACGCAGTCCTTGTCGGGGCCCCGTCGCGGGGACAGAAGTCTGGGTAGTGAGTTTCTCACATTGCCTCGCAGCGCTGCCACCACTGACGAGGAGCGGCAGCACCTCCAGGAGGTTGGGCTCTTCCACTTGGGCGAGTTCGTCAACGTCTTTTGCCACGGCTCTCTGGTCATGCAGAATCTGGGCGAGACCTCCACCCCTACCCAGGGCTCGGTGCTCTTCGGCACGGTCAACGGCATGATTGGTAAGGGTGACCTCTGTGGGGCGCACCCCGTGCGGGCCTCCTTTCTGAGAGCAGCGTTCCCATTTTGGGGGACGAGGGAGAGCAGGATTTCGCGGAGGAGCCTGTGGCCAGCTCTTCCTTCCTCGTGCTGCTACCTGGGCTGCCCTTGGTGGGCAGTGCCCGCTCTGCAGCTCCCTGTTCCCTTTGCTTCCTCAGGCCTGGTGACCTCACTGTCAGAGAGCTGGTACAACCTCTTGTTGGACATGCAGAATCGACTCAATAAAGTCATCAAAAGTGTGGGCAAGATTGAACACTCCTTATATCCTTCCCAGAGGTGCCCCCTTGCTAGGAAGTACATCCTGACCCAGGCAGAGAGCTACATTACCCTAAGCAGCCTCTGGAAACTGCTGTCCGTTTAGGAAATGTCTTGACTAGGTTCCCGTGGGGAACAGGCTTTTAAAAAACCTTATGGAAAATTTCAAACACACAGTAGTGGAGAGAACAGTGTATTGAATCCCCATGTACTTATCACCCAGCTTCACTGGTTCATCTTGAAAACGTACATTTTTGTTCCTGAAATGTGTCTGCCTCTGGCCTTTCTGGTGTTGCTTGTCAAACGTAAGTTTAGATCACAACTTCAGAACGTCCTTTCAGAGATCTTGTTGGAGGCAGTAGTGTCTGAGGACCCTCACTAGAGAGGCTAACGGAAGAGGGGAAAAGCAAAGAATGTGCAAACTCCAGAAGCCCAAGGATCAGCCCCCGTGGGACACTTAGGATCCAAGTACTGCTGGAAGTTTGTTTATTATGGGAGAGAGACAAGGAGCCCGAGGGAGGCGGGGGGTGGGGGGCGAGGGGTGAGGGGTTCCTGCTGTGAGTCCGTGAGGGAGGAGGGAGGCTGATGGGTTGGTTTTTGCCACAACCCGCAGGACTTTTGGCACATCTCTTGTCTTACTGAGCCTCTGTTTGTTTGTTTATTTTTGGCTGCATTGGGTCTTCGTTGCTGTGCACGAGCTTTCTCTAGTTGTGGTGAGTGGGGGCTACTCTTTGTTGCGGTGCGCGGGCTTCTCATTGCGGTGGCTTCTCGTTGCAGAGCACGGGCTCTAGGCACGTGGGCTTCAGTAGTTGTGGCTCGCAGGCTCAGTAGTTGTGGCTTGTGGACTGTAGAGCGCCGGCTCAGTAGTTGTGGCGCACAGGCGTAGTTGCTCCGCGGCATGTGGGATCTTCCCGGACCAGAGCTTGAACCCATGTCCCCTGCATTGGCAGGAGGATTCTTAACCACTGCACCACCAGGGAAGTCCCGAGCCTCAGTTTATTAATCTGTGAAGGTCAAGGCTAGACTTAAAGAGTGGTTCTTCCCAGGCAAGCATCCAGTTCACATGGAGCACTTGTAAAAAAAAAAAAAAGAAAAAACCATCCATACACGTCCAGGCTCTGAACTAAGAGTCATATCTGTATTTTGTTTTAATCTGTATTTTTTTATTTTTAAATTTGTTTTGGCCTCGCTGCACGGCTTGCGGGATCTTAGTTCCCCAACCAGGGATCGAACACACGCCCTTGGCATTGAAAATGCAGAGTCCTAACCACTGGACCACCAGGGAATTCCCTGTATTTTTTTAATGTTATTTTGACGATTACTCCAGTTAAGAACCATTGGATGAGGTAATAGCTTATAGGTCTTTGAAATTCTAACACTGTCCCAAAGGCCATGTGATTTTTAGTTGAAAATGTTGTTTCCTGTTTATCCTGGTGATAGTTTTAGATTGTGGTCTTGTGCAGAGGTGGGGGTGACTCATAGTAAGGGTACTTATTTCCAGATAATTGGCACTTTCCTTAACTCACCTGTCCACCTGGAGATCCTTTCATACTGAACGGAAGACAGAACCAGCCACAGGCTTCATCGATGGGGACTTGATTGAGAGCTTCCTGGACATCAGCCGGCCCAAGATGCAGGAGGTTGTGGCAAACCTGCAGGTGAGCTGCTCAGGGTTTAGCCCTGGGCCAGTTTCTCAAGTCCCTTGCAGGGCCGGGCATACCAGGAGGCCGGCAGAACTCCGGGGCCTCCCCTCCCTCGGTCCCCACGTGCTAACGGCCCTTTTCAAGTTTTCTTCTACCCACGCGGGAAGGTGGGGTCCAAGGGCAAGGAGATAAAGCTGAGGCTCGTGGGTTCCCCCGTCAGGCAGCAAACACTGTAACTTTAGCAATGAGGGCACATTTGGGCATGTCTGGGATCTGTGGCAGACCCGTAGGAAGGGGGCAGGGTCGGGATCCTGTAGGGAAGAGAAGTTTCCATGGCGCTTGGGTTTGGGGCATTGCTCACTGGACATGGTGCCTCTGGGGAAGTATATACTGGGTGGCAGGCTCCGGGCAGCTTTGCTGTCAACAGACCTTGCTGACCTGAACCCCCAAGGAGAGGTGTGGGCTTCCGACTGTGAGTCCTTCCTCCCTGCCATGACAGTGGTAGAATGGGGCGCCTCCCTTGTGGTGGGCATCCCCTTCCTCAGGGGAGGGAGAGCACCCTCTCAGCCCTCACAGCCTCTCCTGCCCCTTCCTCGTTGCAGTATGACGATGGCAGTGGAATGAAGCGAGAAGCCACTGCGGATGACCTGATCAAGATTGTGGAGGAGTTAACTCGGATCCATTAGCCGAGGGCAGGAATCCCCTTTCCCAGGCCCTCTCTGAAGGCTTTGCCCTCCTGCTCTCCTCCTCCTCCCCTGCCGTTGTCTCTTGGCTATGGGAAATCTTTCCCTAGGCCAGCTGCCCTAGAATCCACGGCCTACCTGTGTGGAAACAGGGATTTTGTAGAACTAAAACCAGTTCGCTGGAGACCTGGGAAAGGACTGAAGGTGAAATATTTTCTCCCTGGATTTTTACCAGTCTCACATGATTGCAGCCATCACCTTGGGCCACCAAGCCTTGATTGGTGTAGCCAGTTGTCCTCCTTCCAGGGAGCAATTTTGCAGCTCTTTGGCTGAAAGGAAGGGGTGTGTGTGTGTGTGTGTGTGTGTGTGTGTGTGTGTGTGTGTGTGTGTGTGTGTGTGTGTGTGTGTGTGTGTGTGTGTGTGTGTGTGTGTGTCTGTGTGTCTGTGTGTGTCTGTGTGTCCCACACTCATACATTGTCCTCACTATCTTTTTATTTAGGTTGGGGGCGTGGGGAGGTTGTGGGTAGCAGGGAGGAGGGGCGGGAGGGGTTCGTCGTCTTTGAAATGAGAGCTTCCTTTGCTTTCTTCTCTTGCCTCTGAGAGCTTGGGTCTGGAGGGCTGACCACCAGACAGTGGGCTGCTTGAGTAGAAAACCTGCAGATGGTGGATGATCTCCAAACCACAGCCTTTTTGTCTCTGGGGAACTGCCTTCTTCAGAGGGAAGGAGGTGGGGGGACGTGAATTGGTGGTTAGTTTCTGAGTTTTACCTAATAAAGTAGAGTCTAAGAAGGATCCATTTGTTTCTGCTTTTCTTCCCCTGCTCGGCTCTCCAGCATCCCAGTCACTCTGTGCCCAGTTTACTGCAAGCTCCATTCCCTCCTTCACAGCCACTGCAGCAGTCCCTTGTCCTTGCTGCTGGAACGCTCCTTTCAAGTAGCGAACTGTCGTCTGTACATCTCCTTTGTCAGGTGATCGCTCTTGGTGGGATCCCAAGGATGGTGGATGTCAGGTTTTTGAAATTCAGTGGTCTTTGGTTGCCCTTGACTCTGTAGTCATCGTTTGATTCCCAGGTGCCTGTGTTAGTAATGTGCGGGGCCTGGGGGTTGCTAGGCCTGCCTTTCCTTATGTCATTTTACAGCCAGTTGTATATGGAACATTCAGCCAACTAGCCCCCCAGGCACTGCTCCTCACGCACTGCCCAGCTTCCTGTTGCCACAACGGGCTTTGGATTCTGATTTTATTTCTCCTGGTTTAATTGAGTAAACCTTTGGTGCCTTAGGTTTGAAAATACAGGAGAAGGGCACATTTGGGGTTCACCCTTCTATCCAGCACACAGAGCCTGTCTTCTTTCAGCTCAGTGGGTCAGAGTGTCTGGGCCCATATTTCCACCAGTGATCCAGTGGGAATAAAGGCTGCTCTGTCCCAACAGTGGAGCAGGGTTGATCCCAGGCATATTGGCTGGCTCCTTTAAGACCAGCCTTTGATACAGTGTCAGGAAAATTGTGGTTTCAAGTTCAAACTGTGGTTTTGAGAGATTCTAGCTTAAAAGGAAAAGAGCAAGGAAGCATCTCTGCTTTGGGGGTCTTCCGGAGTAAGTTTCCTTCCCTGGAAGCATTCCTTGTGTTTCTTTACGGTTCTTTTCCCCTTACTCTCCTGGGGTTTCTGAGGGTGGAGGATAAGGGTCTTAGGGGAAAAAATAATCATCTCTCAAAAACCACAGTTTGAACTTGAAACTCAACACTGTGATTTGAATTCTTCAAGTCATGGTTTGAATTGAAAAGGCTGCCCCCATGCCAGAGACCAGCTTTAGTGAGGCAGGCAAGCAACGGCCTCCAGATTGTGATGATTTAAAAAATGTAATCCTAGATGGGAGGATTGACTATAAGGTGCCAAGGTCAGAAAAACAGAATGTGGTGGGATTATGATTCTGATGCTTTTCAGTGGTCTGACCTGCAGCCACGGAGACCTGCTACGTTCAGTAGAAGGTTATTACTTAACCAGTGGCTTCAGTCTTGACTCTGGAAACTGGAGTCCTTGTAGTTTTTTGTTTCCTACAATCCTGGGTATATTCACTCCGGACTGAATTCCAGCAGTCCTTTGGAGACTGATGCTCTACTGCCACACTCCCACATCCCTCTTAAAACCATTAATCACCTCTCCCAGGGTGAAAGTTTGCCTTTGGAGCGTTGCTACAGCCAGCTGGAATGGCTCCTTTCCATGTAGGCGCTGATGAGCTCGCCTCACTCCAGGCCTCTGCACGAATGGACCTTTGGGAGAATAATAGAAACACTGACTCATCACATGACCATTTGGAAGGGTCACAAGCCAGAGGCCTTCTTTCTACAGCCAACAACAACTTGAATCCTCCGCCCTCGGTGGAGGGTCCCTATTGTAACTGAGAAGCCACAAGCCACAGAACTGGGGAGGAAACACTGAGGAACCAATAAGTGCCCAAACTGGTCCTTGAAGATGAATGATACTAAGTGAGCGACTCTCAGGGTCCAAACTTTGAGAAGCCTCAAGGGCAAACAAACCAAAAGACAAGAAAAGCAGAAAATGGTGAAAACCAAACTAAAGACGCAAACGATGTGAGGAGCAAGGTGAATGCCGTAAGGTCAAAGAAATGGGAAATGAAAGAAATGTCAGGGGCTGTTGAGGAAGTTTCTTTCAAAATTCACTGGTCTTAAATGTCCTGAGCTCCTCCTGCTGAGGGTAGATGAGGATTTTCTTTAAGCACAAACTTGCATCTCAGTCATTGCAGCTGCCCGCTGACCAATATGGAGCAAAGCCTGCCAGAGTTACAGGGATGAGCTATGGAGGGGTTGGGGCACCCTGAAGTAGTCGAGTCTAGAACGGAGAAAGCCGAGGTGTGCGGAAGTGTGAGAGAAGATGGCACAAGGAGTGACAGGTGTGTAAAAGGAGCCTTGTCCTGTGTAAATGTGTTAAGAACTTGCGGGTAGCTTTTAGGGCCAGGAAGAATGGGCACTTATTTGACATCGAGTGGTGGTCTAGGTAGGAATGATAAGGGCAGTGGTGCGATAGATTTTGCGGGCTCAAGTGAAGGAAGGGCTTTGTTTATCCCTATTGAATAATTCAGGGCTAGATTTCTGACTCTGGACCTTGAAGGTGGGCATTGAAGTACTTTGTAAGTGACAGTGAGGAATGCAGTCTGAACGGCAGAGGGGGAAAGTGCACCTTTGGATGTTTGAGACAAAAAGGAAAGACGGCCTAAGGGTCCTTAGGACTCAGAATGGACATAAATATGGAAGTAGCATTCATCTCACGATAGAGTATTTTGGCAACCTACTTGTTGAAAATGTGTTACTTAGATGGGTCAAAACTAACAAGGTGAGATAACAGCCCTAAAGTGAACATCTGCAAAAACTCAACCACACAGGTTCAGGTAAGGAAATCGGCTTAGTAGCTTGTGTTTAATAACAAAAGACATGACAACAAAAAGCATCTGAGGCTTCCCTTTACTGTAAACTTTGTTATGAACTAACAGCATCATGGGGTTGCCAAAAAAGCCAGGTAATATTAGACTGTGTTGTTAGAAGTATGGCATCTGGAAGGAAGGAGGGAAGAGTCCAGACTGCTGTTGGCACACCATGTTCATTTGTGGCCACCAGTGTTAAGGACTTCAGTGACAGGCTGAGGTACCCAGTGGGAACTGCAGAGGTAGACCCAAAGGAACTGGGAAGAAAAAACACTTCCTAACAAATGGAGTTACTCAAAATTGGATTGGGCTGCCTTTTGATAGGTCTTCGTCCCTGGAAGTGTTTAAGCCAAAGCTTGACTGATGGGGTCTGGGCGGCTAGGGAAGGTTCCTGCACAGAGCTGAAGGTAGGATTTAGTCAACCTTTCAGCTTTCTCCCAGCTGGATGGTCCTGATTTTCATCCGCCACCTGCTCACCACTTCCCTGCCTACCATTTCTGACTGTGGCCTGAGGCAGCTGCAGAAGGGGACAAAGAGGAATCTGTGGGTTCCAGACTGTCTAGTGCCCCCTGACCAGGGAGCAGGTGGACCCACTGACCGGCGCACCCAGGGTTAGGGTGCAGACCTGTTGGCAGGCTGGGGGCCGGCCTAGAAGTGCTCAGCAGCGAAACGACCCAGCGTCCCACCTTGTACAACACAGTCATCTCGGGATCTACCTAGACCAGCAATGCCCGGGGCGCGCAGCCTCCTGCTCCAGCCTTGTTCCCGGAGTCTCTTTCCTCCCCGGGCCTCAGTCTGACGCCCATAGCCCTTCGCAGGAAGCCGACTCCCAAACCCGGGCCGGGGGTGTGGGCCGAGGACGAAACCCCGCCCCCAGGGGTCCCTGATCTTTGCCCCCGCCCCGGGCTCGCGCCTCCCCTGATGGCCACCGGCGGGCGGGCGCCTTTGCCTTTTGTGTGTTTCGTTCCGAGGTGCCAGAGACCCCCCGCCCAGCCGTCCGCCGAGTCTCCTCGCGGCCCCGTGCCCCTCCTCTCGGAGTCCCCAGCCCCCCTGCTCGGCTCCGCGTGCCAGCTCGGGGCTCGCTGGTTCGCTCCCCGCGGCGCCAGGAGGAGGGGCGAGGGCCGGCAGCCCCCTCCCCCGCGCTCGGCGCCGGAGCCTAGCCGAGCCGGGGGGACCCGCCGCCGCCGGTCATGTGGGCCGGATTGCTCCTCCGGGCCGCCTGCGTCGCGCTCCTGCTGCCGGGGACCCCGGCCCGTGGCTACACCGGGAGGAAGACGCCCGGGCACTTCGGGGCCGAGAGGTAAGCGCCCCGCGCCCCTCCCCTGCCCCTCCGCGGGAGCGCTACCGGCGCGGTGCGGGGAGGCGCGGAGGGGCGTCCCGGAGCTGCGGGTCGGGGCGCCCCCCTGGGCCACTGTCCGCGCGCGGGCGCAGCCCAGGAGGTCCGGACAAAGGGACAGCAGCTTGTGCTCTGGGCGGGTGCCCGTTCTGCGCCCCTGGCCGGGGCTGTCCTGATTGGGATCTGGCGGGGGGAACGGAGATCCAGGCGCTAGGTGAACCGCACTGAGTCCCGTGGAGCCCCGACCCCTGGCGAAGGGACCCCGGGACGTGCAACCTGGTCTCCGGACTGGCTGGCTTTCGCTCCCGAACGTGCCCGTGGCTCTGCCTAGGCAGTGCCTGGCCTGCCCCGCGGCTCTGGCCGCTCTGAGGCTGGGGGCTTTCCCTGTGTACAGGCTCTGCGCACGCCGTGGACCTTGTAGCCGCCGGGGTCTCTTTGGGTTATGTTTCGGTTTCCGCCTGTGTGTGCGCGCGGGCGGGGGTTGGGTGTTTTGCCCCTTTGCTTTCCCGATTGATGTCGCCCTCTCCTAGCGTCTCCTCCCGGCGGAGGCCGGGCCGCCGCGGGCCGAGCGCGTGTGTGCGTGATGCTCCGAGCTAGGGAACACGGTGTCAGCGGGCGGCCTGGCTCGCGGCCACGGCCTCGGAGGCGCGCGGGGGGGCGGCCCCGCCAGGCTCGCAACTCGCACGTGTGTTCCGCAGCCACCGCCAGTTCCTGCTCAGATCGGCCCGGCTCCGCGGCGTGTCAGAGCCTTCCTGCCTGCCACCTGTCTCCCCGTCACCGCCCGCCCTAGGTTCCTTGGGGCGCTCTGGCGGGCGCTCGGCCCCTGCCCACCTGAGGGTGAGGCTCCACCAGCCTCCCGGGAATCCTTCCATCTGCCGCTTTGGTGGCACCCCTGTCCCTTTGAGAGCCCCATCTGAGGAGCAGGAGCTGCCGGCTTCTCCTTCCCAAGCTGCTGCCCTAATCGCTCCAGCGAGGGCAGCAGGTGAGACATCCCCCACCCACTTCCAGGGCCCCTTCTTCTGTGATGACTTCAGAGAGCGAAAAGGCTCTTGGAGGCTCCAGGGACAGTTTTCTGCAGACGTTTCTGTTTTGCCATGTGCCCTGAGTTTCCCTTTCTAGAATATTTGTCACTTTTGACATAGATTATTCTCCCGCAGAGCAGACTGGGTCTTTCCATTAACGTCCCCAGTGCCTGCTGCCGTGCCTGGCACATCATGGGTGCTCTATAGAACACAGCTGGGAAGGGTTTTCTTTTCTCTCTTTTTTTTTTTTTTTTTTTTTTGCGGTACGCGGACCTCTCACCGCTGTGGCCTCTCCCGCCGCGGAGCACAGGCTCCGGACGCGCAGGCTCAGCGGCCATGGCTCACGAGCCCAGCCGCTCCGCGGCACGTGAGATCCTCCCGGACCGGGGCACGAACCCGCGTCCCCTGCATCGGCAGGAGGACTCTCAACCACTGCGCCACCAGGGAAGCCCGGGTTTTCTTTTTTTTTAAATTAATTAATTTTTGGCTGCGTTGGGTCTTTGTTGCTGCGCGCGGGCTTTCTCTAGTTGTGGTGAGCGGGGGCTACTCTTCGTTGCGGTGCGCGGGCTTCTCACTGCGGTGGCTTCTCTTGTTGCAGAGCACTGGCTCAAGGTGCTTGGGCTTCAGTAGTTGTGGCACGCGGGCTCAGTAGTTGTGGCCCACAGGCTTGGTTGCTCCGTGGCATGTGGGATGTTCCCGGACCAGGGCTCGAACCCGTGTCCCCTGCATGGGCAGGTGGATTCTTAACCACTGTGCCACCACGGAAGTCCCTGGGAAGGGTTTTCTTGTCCCTATTCTTTTGCAGCAGGATTCCCAGTTCAAACCAGGCTGGACTTCATCATCCTCTGCCCATCCCATCCCAGAACCAGTTCTAGTCATCGTCTCTGTCCCCCTCCAGGCCCGTGGACATGCAGCTCCTGTCTAGAACATTCCTCCATTCTCACCGGCTGCTCCTACTCTCTCTCCAGCCTCAGCCTAGGAAACCTCCCCTGAGCTCCTTGGGCCTCCATAGCCTGTCATGTTCTGGCACTTGTCCTGCTATGTTGTTATACCTGGTTCCTTGTCCACCCCTTGAAGATAGGGAAAGTGGCTTGTTCACGGCTGGACTGCCTCACCCAGCCTCGAGCACACTGGATTCCCCTTCACTCCTTTGGGCAGCTCACTGATGCCCCCTCCCCCATCCCAGAGATGTCACCTGGGGAATGACTTCTCTCCAGTTCCCCCCTTTCTCTTTACTGTTGGCTTCCCTTCTCAACCTTTCCCTCAACAGCCATTTATTAAGCACCTATGATGTGCCAGGCGCTGCCCTTGCTGCGGAGTTGAAGAAAAAAGATGAAGCCCCTGTCCTCAGGGAGTGGTAGGGGAGCCAGGCAATGAACAAATCAACAAACTAATAAGTAATTTGATGTCCCAGGAAGCAAGTGTTATGAAGCAGAATAAAGCAAGGTACGGGTGGACAAGTAGGGCCTCTCTGAGAAGGTGACATAAGCAGAGAGACCTTTTACAGGAGTGGGGGAGCTGTGTGTGTCTGGGGAAGAACGTTCCTGACAGAGGGGACTGCAAGTGCAAAGGCCCTGAGGTAGCCATCCCTGCGGCTCTTCATCCATTGCGGTCTTCTAACCTCAGCTCTTAGACCCTCTTTGCTCTGTGTCCACGTGGCAGGCATCTGTAGGAGACTAGTGTCTGTTCTCTTATACCTTTGTCTTTGTCCTGCCTCCAGAAGGGACTGACTGTCTGAGTCATTTTTCTATGGAAACTTCCCATTGTCCTCCCGAGGAGTGGGGGGTGGAGGAGGTCTCCAGAACTGTTTGTTGACTGACATACTGACTGGCTGGGAGGCTTTCACTGCCCAGTAGATGAATCCTCCCCTCGGTACAGAATGTGGAAGGTGCTCTCTCCTCTCTTGCAGACGCCGGCTGGGCCCCCACGTCTGCCTCTCGGGGTTCGGGAGTGGCTGCTGCCCTGGCTGGGCGCCCTCCATGGGCAGTGGACACTGCACCCTTCGTAAGTGCCTGTCCCCATGCCCCAAACATCCTCCACAGCAGGGCGCTCATTCCCTGGGCTTGCCTGAGGGACAGATTGGGGGCCCCAGTCCCCAATCCCTCACCTGTCTTTATCCTCTCAGCCCTCTGCTCCTTTGGCTGCGGGAGTGGCATCTGCATCGCTCCCAATGTCTGCTCCTGCCAGGATGGAGAGCAAGGGCCCACCTGCCCAGGTAACTGGGGGCGGGCAATGGCTGATGGGAAGAACTCTATTTACACTGAGAATGTGCCAGGCACTGGGCAGTTGTGCCCTAGCATATACCATTTTCAAACAACCCTATTAGGTAGGCATTCTCATTCCCATTTTATAGATGATGAAACTGAGGCACAGAAGCTAGTGTCTCGCCCAGGGTTACACGGCCAGTAAGTGGCAGAGCTGAATTTAAACTCAGGCCTGTTTGCCTCCAGAGCCCCCTTCCCAGCAGAATTTAGGAGGAGCCGGGGAAGGCGGGGGCGGCTGGGACTGTGAAGTGGCGCATGCTCACAGGTGCGGTGCCTGTTTCAGAAGCCCATGGACCCTGTGGGGAGTACGGCTGTGACCTCACCTGTAACCATGGTGGCTGTCAGGAGGTGGCCCGAGTGTGTCCCGTGGGCTTCTCGATGACAGAGACAGCTATCGGCATCAGGTGTACCGGTGAGAGGCGTGGGAGCAGCGGGGAGGGGGCGGGCGGGAATGAGGTCCCTTCCCTGTCCTCCCAGGACGGTCTCCGGAGAGATGCCTGAGCAAAGCTGAGCCACGAGCAGCTCTGAAGTTTAAGAGTGAGCAGGCAGGCAGGCAAACACAAGAAATATGCTCCTTTTGCTATCTCACAAATACTTATTGAGCACACCTCGTGGACTGGGGACTGAGCTGGGGCTGGGGTTACGAGGGCAGTCCCTGCTCTTATGTTGCTTCAGAATGTGAGGCAGGGAGACAAGTAAGGACAATGACAGTCCCCCCCCATAATGGGGCCATCACCTGTGGAGTGCACAGTGCCAGGGCCCACAGGGGCACAGGGAACCGGACTGGAGGTGGGCATGACCGCAGAAAGCCTCCCTCAGGAAAGTGACATTTGAAAGATGAGCCAAGAGAAACTCAGTAGTTATTTTGTAAAAGTATTATTGGTTCAGCATTTAAAAAATTCCCTGTGCACAGTCTGTTACTGTCGCCAGAGGCAGCCACCGTGACTAGTTTCTTACCTATCTTTCCGGAGAGCTTGAAAGCCTTTTTTAATTTGGATTTTGCAAAAATAACCTTTCTTCCCCTGAATATAAAAGTAAAAAATAACTTCTTTTGGAACATCTGGAAAGTAAAAGAAGGGTAGAAAGGTGAAAATAAACCTGTCCCAGAAGTCCCTACCCAGAGATATTTGTTAGAAAATGAAGTTATTTTTTTCCCTGCCCTGTCCCCTGGGTGTGTAGGTGTTTGTGAGAGTGTATGACTGTGGGTATATGTGTGTCAGGCGTGCCCATCTGTCTGTTTTATAAAATTGGGATCATACCTTATCTATAGTTTTCGTTCATTATTTTTCTCGCTTAACTTTGTCTTGCGAGTAGGAAATAGTCCTTATAGCATCATTTTTTTTTCAGATAAAATATTATAGGTTTATTTAAAACTTAATTCTCACCTTGAGCATGCAAAATACAAACTCCACAAAATGTTCACTTTTTTACTTTATTGTTTACAAATATGCAAAATAGATGTTTGCTTAAATTTATATTACGTATTTATTAAGGCAAGGAACTGTATAGAAAAAAACATTTGTTCTGCTTAAGGCACACTTGGGAATAAACCATCGTACAAATTATTGCACATCTGAAACCACAGTGCCTAACAGACTGTCTGCATAAAAAGGTTAAAGTAAACCGTGTGTATTTACCTGACTTAGGTCATAAATGTAGATCGGAAGACAAAAATAGATTTTCCTTGTCAAAGTATGCAGCAGTTTGAGAACTTTGGCCTCATTGGTACCTTTAGAACCAAGGCTCACCAAGCACCATCGTGTAGGCTATTAAAACACATTTTCTGTACCTGAATTTCTTCCTCTTCTTCTAAGATCGTAATAATGGCTTTTAGAAGGCAAAGAGAATACAAGGTGATCTTTATGCTTATATTGCATCGAAACAATTCAAGAGATTCTGGTCTTCCCTCCCCCCAGCTCAGGGATCTAATTTATACCCTGATATCCACAACTTCCAGTCACCCCCTTGGCGTTTTGTAAGTCCAGGAATATATATTCAAGTTGGATTTAGAATTGGAATGATAGAAGATCCAGTCACAGACCCCATCTGTTCTTTGTCATTTGGTTTCCTCATGTCTCCTGATTATCCATTCACAAGTTGACTTGTTGGGAACTTGACCATGATTGTAGTGCTTTCCAACTGGGTTCCTCCCCTCACCGGGAAGACAGTGTGAAAGGTAAAAAATACTGAATTCTCGTCTGCCAGTGTGGGTCATATCCACTGTTTGGGGATTTTAAAGTGCCTCTTCATGTGTAAGGCGAGGTGGTCTGACCTCGAAAATGCCCGGTCGCACTAATGGCACTGGAAGGGGCGGTGCCCAGTGTGTTTGCCGTAGTGCCTGGTCAGTTCATCTGAGCGGGCAGATTTCCACCCACGGCCGTCCCAGTCACAGTGGTAAGGTTTCTCACCTGTGTGGGTTCGCAGGTGTGCCTTGAAATGAGAACTTTTCCGGGGCCACGACCTTCTCTCCCTCTTTGGCTTGGGCTCCTCCAGCATGCAGGAACTGGGTGGCATGAGCTCTTGGTAATGGAGCGGTGGGACCTGCGGCTGGATCTGGTCGGGCAGGAAGGGAGGGTAGTTGGGCCTGGGGTGGGGATGGAAGCCCGGGGGTAGTGGCAGGGCAGGATGACAGTCCCTGCTGCTCAGCATACAACATCATTTTGAACGGCTGCAGATGTAGTTGCTATAATCTAAGTACCCAGTTCTGTGCTATCCATCCTTAGCTTGTCTGCAGTGTTTCACTGCTACAAATAATGCTGCGATAAAGAGGCTTCTTGTCAGCCCCTCTGACTATTCCCAGAAAGAGAACTATTGGGTCAAGGGTCCCATGAAGGAGTTTTGGTGCTCGCCCCCCCCCCCTCCCCCGCACCCCTTCCAGAAGGTTGAAGTACTTTCCAGACACACTTCTCATTGCAGGGGCAAACTGGACCAAGGAAAAGCCAGAGACCAATGTCAAAGCAAGTGCAGGGAAGTGGGGCCCTGGCCACCATCACAAGGGGCCCAGTGGGATCGGGTGAATCAAGGTGGGCTTCTTAGAAGCGGTGGGTGTGGTCCCAAAGGTACCTGCTGTGGGAAGAGCAAGAAAGAATGGAGGTGACCAGCAGGCATGGGGGCCAGGGGGTGGGAGGGAGGCTCGAGTGGGCAGAGTAGACTGGAGTGGGCGGAGCTGACTTCGTAGGTCCTCATGGTTCTGAGATAGGAAGGGCTGCCTTGAAGCCGGCTGGGGAGATCTGTCTCCCAGCCCCCTCCCCCCTCAGGCCTGAACCTCCCTAAAGCACTACTTGGATCCAGTCACCCCACCCCGGGCAGAAGCTTCGGGACTCGTTTGCGCTCTATCGCTGAGCCTTTACCCACCACCTCTCCAGCTCGGCCTCACGCTGCCCCGGCGGGAACCTGAGCTTCAGCCAGACTGGGCTCCCGGCGGTCCCTGTGCTTCCCGGAAGCTTCTCGGACACTCTGCGCTCTATGGGCCCCCCTCCTGATGCCTCCTGGTCCTCTCAGCCCACCTCCCTTCCAGCACACACCTGCCGTGGCCGGGCGGTCCCTGGTAGGGCGCATACCGCCGGCCGCACGCCGGCCTCTCGTGGGTGTGTGTCATGGGTGTGTGTTGTGGCTCCTACGTTCTCATGCTGCAGCCATCTGGAGAGTCAGCACCGTGCCTTAGTGACATTTGTGTCCTCGGCAGCCCCCTTCCAGGTCTGCTGCACGCAGGCGGTGCTCAATAAGCATTTAAGGGAATTTAACCAGCCTTCCTGCCCATTCCCCCTGCCCTTTTGGGGTTGCCCTGCAGGTGGGACCACTGGAAACAGTTCTGTCTCAGCCAGTCTCTCCGTTGTCTGTTCTGCGTGGGTCAAAAGAGACCTGGCCCTTCGGCCTCTTCTTTCTGGGGGCATCCCTAAAGCTGTATGACTTACCTGGTGCCTTCTTTCTTCCTGGGGTGGGGGTGGGTTCCACCCTGCTGAGGGCAGGCCCCGTGTGGGCACAGGGTCCTCGTGGGGTGCATATTCTCCCCACACCCGAACCACGTTCAGCGTGAGCTATGCAAGAGTGTTTCCTCGCTCCCCAGACGTCGATGAATGTTTAAGCTCCTCTTGTGAGGGCCACTGCGTGAACACGGAAGGCGGGTTCGTGTGCGAGTGTGGGCCGGGCATGCAGCTGTCTGCTGACCGCCACAGCTGCCAAGGTGAGTGGCTCTGGAAGGGGTAATGATGGTGCCGTCGCCACCGTCGCTAGGCTCTGATGCTGAACTCACGGCCCTGCCAGGCCCAACGCGTGTTCTCCAGGCATGATTGCGTTTCAGCTTCACCACAGTCCTCTGAGGGAGATGCTGTTCTCATCCTCACTTCCTGGATGAGGCTTGCCCAAGGCCGTTCTGTCAGTGGGGGCAGAAGCAGTCGGCTTGCATGCGGGCATGTCTGATGCCAGGGCCTTTGCTCTGGACCACGACTCAGTAGAAACTGCTGCTGCCATCACTGTAGGGTAGGGGGGTGGTGGGGGTGAGGGAGAGGCCGAGACTAACCAGAAGGAGGAGGCCACTGAGCTGGGGGAAGGCTGGGGGGGCGGGTGACACGTCCCGGGGGCTCTGTGGGAGAGCCGTGCTGCGACAGAGTCACCTCAGCCACTTGCCGGGGTGCTGGGCCGGCCTCTGGAGACACACAGCCAAGAAGAAAACATCCTGCCCCCCAGCGACCTCCCCACTCCCCCCACCCCCGGTCTGGTGGGAGGGGAAGAACAATGCGGTTGGGTCGAGGGGCTAAGTGCTGTGGGAACCCAGGGGAGAGAAGGAATCTTTTCTCCTAAGTGAACAGGATGAGCGAGACCTTTTAAAATAATGACTCATTCCTTAAAAATGATTTTTATTTACAGAAATTATGTCAGGAAACATTCTCTCTTTAACAAGGCAGCTAAGACAGAAGCTCCCCTTGACACTGTGGTATCATTTTCTGGGTGTTTGAAATTTTCATAAATTATTTTAAAAGTTTTTCTTTTTTCTTTGATACGCGGGCCTCTCACTGTTGTGGCCTCTCCCGTTGTGGAGCACAGGCTCCGGACGCGCAGGCCCAGCGGCCACGGCTCACGGGCCCAGCCGCTCCGCGGCATGTGGGATCCTCCCGGACCGGGGCACGAACCCGTGTCCCCTGCGTCGGCAGGTGGACTCTCAACCACTGAGCCACGAGGGAAGCTCTTTAAAAGTTTTCAAAGTCATGGCCCTAGCCCCAGGCCATCTCTCCCACGCCCAACCTCTATGCTCCCTAGAGAATAGCCCTGGTGTCTTCGTATCTGCTTGGGCTGCTATAACAAAATAGCACAAACTGGGTGGCATAAACAACAAAAATTTATTCTCACAGTTCTGGAGGCTGGGAAGTACAAGATCACAGTGTTGGCCCACTCAGTTACTGGTGAGGGCTCTCTTCCTGCCTTGCAGACAGCTACCTTCTCTTTGTGTCCTCACAAGGCAGAGAGAGAGCAAGCTCTCTCATGGCTCTTCTTCTAAGGGCAGTAATCCCATCATGAGAGCCCCACCCTCAAGACCTCATCCCAACCTAATTATGTCCCAAAGGCCCCACCTCCTAGTATCATCACATTGGGGGTTAGGGCTTCCATTTATGAATTTGGAGGGAACGCAGTTCATCCATAGCACTTAGTTATCAATCTGATGAGCGCCCTGCCTGCCTCTCCCCAGTATGTGTACGTACACACACGTGCACTTACAGAGAGATGACGATAAGAGATGGGTGGCTTACGGTTGTTGAACTCCTGTATTCCTGGCACCATGCTAAGCATTTAACGTGCATTTTCTCAATTTTGTCCTCAAAATTGTCCTATGAAGTTGGTACTGTTTATTTCTATTTTCCTGGTAGGAATACTGAGGCTTAAAGAAGTTAACTTTCTCAAGATCACATTAGGGCTTCAATGTGAACCCAGTCATTCTTCTGCCTGCTTTTTTCCCTTCAACAATCTGTCATGAAAATCTCTTCACGTCAGGGTCAATAGACTTGCTTTATCCTTTTCAGCTACTACCTGGTACTTCGCAGTGCAGATATCCCGTAGTTTACTAACTCTTCTCTCACTGATGAACATGCAGATCATTTCCAGCTTTTTCCCAATTTCAAACAATGGCTTGGGGAAGCTTTGACAGAGGAGATAGTATAGAAGCTGAGTTTTGAGGTATGAGTAGGAGTTTTCCAGCCAGACAAGATGGGAAGGTATTCCAAGCAGTTAGGAGAACATGGGCAAAGGGGGAGGGCCACAAGAGTATGGTGCCTTTGGAAGATGGCAAGAATTTGGGCCAGAGTAAAGGTGAGGGGCAAGGAGAGAGGTGGGAAAGGCAGCCCAGGACTCGTGGTGCTGCATTGGTGCTTGTGGGAGCCTTGCAGGGAGTTTAAGCAGAAAGTGGCCTGATCAGAGGTGCCCTTTGGTCAGAACATCCTGGGGGCTCTGTAGAGGGTGGCTTGGGAGGAGCACAGGAGGGGCAGAGAGACACACAAGGCTGTTGTTGTCCTCTAGGCCAGAGACAAAGCCCAGGGCATCTGGGCTAGGGTATGGCAGTGAGGGTGGAGAGAAGTGAGCTGGTCCAGGGAGGACTTAGGAGTTGATAGACTGAATGTGGGTGGTGAGAAGGAGAGGGGTTACGAGTCGGGTAGGAGATAGTGATGAGAGAGGTAGGTAGAGAGGACCACCTATTTCCAAAACTCCACGGGGAAATGAGCTCCAGCTGTGTCCTGTTCCCTTCCAGACACTGATGAATGCCTTGGGACCCCCTGCCAGCAGAGATGTAAAAACAGCATTGGCAGCTACAGGTGTTCCTGTAGAACTGGCTTCCATCTGCACGGCAACCGGCACTCCTGTGTAGGTAAGGCAGGGGACCCTGTTGTCTTCACACTTAGGCTGCCAATCAGGAAGACGGACAGGGCGAGCCCAGGGACAGGGAAAGGTCAACAGTCTGGACCTCCTGGTTCCCTGGAGCCGGCAAGCGCTTGAGCCTTTGCTCAGAGCCTGCCTTTCCCTGGGGTTGGCGTGGCTCCTAATGGAAGACCCCGTCTCGGACTTTTCCTGGCCACATGCCACCTTCATCCTGTTATGTTCCTCTTCCGCCCTCTCCCAGATACACCCCAAGGATTCCTCTCTGCTCACCCATTTTCTTGGCTGCCTTAGCTCCCCTTGGTAAATAAAGCACGTTATGTCTTGGTTCCTCTGGTTTAGAAGGAGACCCCTGTTTTCTCAGCCCATTGCAGAAATTTCCAGAAAGGGATTGGCATGTTTGGCTTGAGCTTGGCTCATGGGTTGAAGGTGGGATCCCATGGGCCTGGAAAAAGACCTTGTTCTAGCAGAGTTGGGTGTTTGTCCTGGAGCCTGCCCTGAGCAGTGTGGTCATTTTTTGAGACTCTTTTTCCAGAAGGGCCCATAGCACCTGATGCCCAACAGTGGGTTGGTGGAAGGTTGGGAGGTGAGATTCCCAGTGGGGCCCATCCCCACCAGCCAGCACTTAATCACTGCTGCACAGTGCTGGGGTGTGAGTCACTGGTGCATTCATTAAATGCCTGCTGGATGTATGAACCTTCCAAGGAGACTAGCGCTAGACTTCAGCCCCATTCCCAGACATCTGAGTCACACTGGCACCCTGGGGCAGGGAAGGGCCCCATAAGAACATGGCAAGGAGACTCCCCCAGCCTTTTGGGGTAAGGGATGGGGGAAGAAGGACTCGGTAGCCCCGATAAGGCAGCCGTTGGTAGCGAGGCTCTCCCGCAGATGTAAACGAGTGTCGGAGGCCACTGGAGAGGCGAGTCTGTCACCATTCTTGCCATAACACCGTGGGCAGCTTCCTGTGCACCTGCCGACCTGGCTTCAGGCTCCGAGCTGACCGAGTGTCGTGTGAAGGTGAGCGCTGGGCCCCGCCACCCGGCGCTGGGCCCCGCCTCCGGGCCCCAGGCCCCACCCTCCCAGACCGGGCCCCCTTCCTTCCCCCTGATTTTTTTTCAGTTCATCTCGTTTGTTATTTCCAACATCCCCCTTTCATCCTTTCTGTCTCCTTCCACTTCTTTACCCATTCTTTTTTTTTTTTTTGCGGTACGCAGGCCTCTCACTGTTGTGGCCTCTCCCGTTGCGGAGCACAGGCTCCGGACGCGCAGGCTCAGTGGCCATGGCTCATGGGCCCAGCCGCTCCGCGGCATGTGGAATCTTCCCGGACCGGGGCACAAACCCGTGTCCCCTGCATCGGCAGGCGGACTCTCAACCACTGCGCCACCAGGGAAGCCCTCTTTATCCATTCTTTTATTTTCCTTTCACTGTTTCGCCAGCCCTACTGTTTCCCCCCAAATAGTAAAAGGGGGAAAAAAAAAAAACCCACCAAAAAACAATGATAGAGGAGCCTGTGACATAGGAGTCCCAGTAACCCGGGCTCACGGGGACACTTTGGACAGTGTGGTGTCAGATCTCTGCCATGATTTAACAGCGTGCCTGTAAACGTCCATGTAATGTGTCAATACCGAAGGCATTCTTTCTAATCCAGGGCCAGTTTTCCATCGTGTAATCGCCCATGATGGTCTGAGCTCAGCCACCCCGTTTCCCCCTCCCAGCCCAACCAGTTTTCTCCCCGTCTCACTCTGATTTGTGACTCTCTTCCTTTTTCCTATCTCTCACCCTTGCCCCTCATCTGCCTCCTTCGCCGCCCTCTTGTTTTTTGTTTTTTGTTTTTTTTTTGCGGTATGCGGGCCTCTCACTGTTGTGGCCTCTCCCGTTGCGGAGCACAGGCTCCGGACGTGCAGGCTCAGCGGCCATGGCTCACGGGCCCAGCTGCTCCGCGGCATGTGGGATCTTCCCGGACCGGGGCACGAACCCGTGCGGACTCTCAACCACTGCGCCAGCAGGGGAGCCCCGCCCTCTCTCTCTCTCTCTTTCTGTCTTTCAGACTGTTGGGCAGCTGCTGTCCATCTGCAGGGAAAATGTGCACTGTTCCTACGTGTGTGTGTGTTTGAGTGTGTGTGTGTGTCTCGGGAGGCATCCTCTTGGAAGCTGGCCTGTCTGCCATGGACCCAGAGAGGACCCTGGGCCCTTCCTCCCCCTGAGCCTCTGCATCTCCTCCTGGGAAGCCATAGCTGGATGGGAGAGTAGGGGACACACTCCTGATTTGTCAGGAGTAGGGAAGGGTTACTCCCAGGTCGGATCCCTGAGGGCTTAGAGAAGGTCTGCGTGGTTCAGGAAAACCCGAGTCTCCTTTGCGGCCAGCGAGGAAGGGAAGGGAGAAGACTCTGATGTTGCTGCATATGAAGCAGCTGGACCTCCCGCATCGCCAGCGTGTAACTTCGGGCTGCTCGTGGTACTTGTTCATCAATCTTCTCCCCTGATCGTCACCGCAGCCCCATTAGTTTGAGGTTGAACTGGTGGTATTAGATCTATCATGTTGTTGAAGAAACTGGCCCAGACACGTTCAGTGATTTGTGGTCGTGCGCCTGAGTCCACGCCCCTCGAATCTCGCCTCCTGCCCCTGCTGCCTCCCTGCAGACATCTCTGTGTTTCCGTTTCAGCTTTCCCCAAAGCCGTGCTGGCCCCATCTGCCATCCTGCAGCCCCTGCAGCACCCCCCTAAGATGCTACTGCTGCTTCCAGAGGCAGGCCGGCCCGCCCTCTCCCCAGGGCACAGCCCTCCTTCTGGGGCTCCAGGGCCCGCAACTGGAGTCAGGACCACACGACTGCCATCTCCCACACCTGCACTACCCACGTCCTCTGCTTCTGCCCTGACGCAGCTACTGTCTGCCCCAATGGCCACCCCAGTGCCTAGTCCCTCTCCGTTGGGGACCCTCAGACCTCCCTCACGAATCCAGGAGAAGGTGGTGGTGACCCCTTCCTTGCCCAGGGGCCCTGAGGCCACACAGCTGGCACCAGGGCCCTCTGCCTGTTGGCACCTGGGAGCCATGCATGAGTCCGGGAGCCGCTGGACAGAGCCTGGCTGTTCCCAGTGCTGGTGCGAGGTGGGTGTGAGGGGTCCCCCGGGCTTCCCTGGTCTGGTGTCTGGGGCGTTGTGGTGGCTGGAACTCCAGTTTCTGCTTCTAGGATGGGGAGGTGACCTGTGAAAAGGTGACGTGTGAAGCTGCTTGTTCTCACCCGATTCCCTCCGGAGATGGGGGATGCTGTCCATTGTGTACAGGTGGGAGCTGGTCTGGGGAAGGCTGTGAGTTTCTCACATGGTACTGCCTCTTCCCTTTCCTAGCCTTTCTGCAGCTGAAAGGCTGTTCTCCGACTTTCGTGTGTCACCTGAAGGGTGATCCCTGGGCCTAGCCCCCAGAGCTTCTGATTTAGCAGGTGCTGGGTAAGGCCCGGGAATTTGCATTTCTAACAAGTTCCCAGGTGATGTTGACGCTGCTGCTTCGGGGACCACACTTTGAGAACCACTGGTCTATGCTCTCAAGGGGAACTTTTGACCTTCCGGGGATCCTTTTGGAGCTTCGTTCTTTCATTTATTCCTTCATTCAGCAAGTTTCTCCAGACCCACTCTGCAGTCCCCTCCCCTGCCCCTGTCCCCCTCCTACTGCAGGAGGAGTAATCGTTTATAAATTCTACCCCTGTTCTAATTCCCTCCCACAATCTGCTGACAGTTTTTCATTTGCTTCCCATTGCTGTTAGGATAAAGACCTCAAATCTTACCAAGTCCTTCAGCAGAGCTCCTTAACACTCACCCTGCGCGTGAGTCGCTGGGAATCCTGTTAAAATGCAGATTCTCATTCAGTAGATGTGGGGAGGGGCCTGAGCGGCTACATTTCTATGAAGCTCCTGGTGGTAAGGTGTTGAGGTTGCTGCACTTTAAGCAGCAGTGAAAAAATCTTCCTAAGGGTTAAAATGAAAATGCAACTTGCTGATTTTCTTAATGATAATTGTGATTTTTTACTGTGTCCCTACTGTGTATTAAGCCCTGAGTGTAAATTGCTGTGTACATTACATCTGAGGTTGTGCATCCTTCCAAGTCCCCTGCAGGGCATGTGGTGGTATTTCCATTTTACAGTAAAGACAGCTGAGTCCCAGAGAGGTTGAGTGACACATCCAGGTCCAAAGCCACTCAGGTGACAGGCCAGGTTTGGAACCTGGGGCTGTCTGGCTGCCTTTCCTGCCTTATGGCAATAAAATGCCATGCTTTCAACACAGTTCTGGGTTTATCAGACATAAATGGGACCCTCCCAGGGCACCCTGTGTGGGTGTCTCCTGTAGTTCTCCAGGCGTCTTGGGACCACACCGTTCTGAGTACCTAGATCTGTCACTCCTGGGGCATCCGAGCCAGTGAGAGAAGGTTCCAGGTACATTATGCCTGGAAAAGTAATGAGACCTCAAGCTTCCTCTACTTTAAGAGGTCTGATGCCTCCACTCCTGTTTGTCTTTCAAAGGCTGTTTTCACAGTGGCGTCATCCGGGCTGAAGGGGACGTGTTTTCACCTCCCAACCAGAACTGCACTGTCTGTGTCTGTCTGGTGAGCATCACAAGATCCCTGAAGCCTCGTGGGTGTTTTCTTAACCTTTGGGGGTTTTAGAGGAAGGGGGAAAGACCGGATGTTAAAGGTGAGCTCGTTGAATGGAGGGAGAGTTCTCAGGTTGTGGATTTTGGTCGCAAGCTGTGGAATTTAAAAGCGTGGGGGATGGGAAACCCGTAGTGTGTGGAGTCAGGGAGGTTTTGCTGAGCAGAAAAGAGCCAACATGCAAACAGGGTCCATCTGTCTAGGAAGGGGAGGGGATGCAACTCCCTCGGAAACTTCCTACCAGGGAGGCCGTTTTTCTCTCCAGGCAAAATATTTGCCGGCACAATAAAGGTAGCCGCGTTGGGAGGGAGAAGGCTCGTTACCAGACTCAGCTTGTTAAGAGTATTTTGCTTGAGGCAAATTCACTCCTCCAAGAATAGTTATTAAGTTCCTACCGTGTGCCAGACCCAGCCAGAGGCTGTCCCTTGGATTGCATCGTGAGCACCCGGTGCATACCAGGCAGGGGCTTGGTATTTTCCATCTAGTTCCTCCCCCGAGGCTCCTGGTGGCTCTTCTGGGTCGGCTTTACAGTCCCCATTCTACAGGTGGAAAGACTGAGGCTGGGAGGTGGCAGAGCTGGGATTTGAGCCGTGGCCTTTCTGCATCCAAAGCCCAGGCTCTGCCCACCAGCCCTCACTGCCTCTCATCTTTAAAAGCAGCCCTGGTCTGGCAGTGATGGCGGAAGCTGCAATGTAAAGGGGCGGGGGCACGTAGATCGCTACCGCCACCATTATTGAGCCCTTCCTGTGCGCCACGCTTGTGAAGTGGCCAGGCGTTTTCGTGCCTGATCATATTTCACTCCATCCTCAGCAACCCCAGCAGAGGTGCCCTTTCCAGCTCATCTCACAGATAGGGAGACGGAGGCTCAGAGAGGTGACATACTCTGCCCAAAGTCACACGACTTGGAGGGGCAGACCCTGGACCTCAGGTCTGGCTGACTCCAAAGCCGGGGGCTTTTTTGTCTTAACTTCAATTTTTAAAAATTGAGTTTTAAATTTAACTCCTTGGCCGGTATTAGTCACTTGGTTCAAAACTCAGATGCACGGGAAGGTGTCTCTGGCGGAGGAACCTCTGTTCTCCACTTCTCAGCATCCTTCCGGAGCTTCTGTATGCCATGGGAGGGAATGCCATGGTGGGGGCAGTGCCATGGGAGGCTAGGCTCGTCCATTTTCATGAGGAAGGCAGCGTGCTCTGCTCTCTGGTCTGCCCCTCGTCTTGGAAAGGGGGATGTTGGAAACTACACCATAATACACCCTGGTACTGGGCCCCAGCACCATATCCTTGTGTGACCATGGTGGCATTTAAAGGTCTTGGATGGCTTCCCTTTTATTTTTTTTTAAATATTTATTTATTTGACTGCGCCGGGTCTTACTTGTGGCATGCGGGATCTTCGTTGTGGCATGCGGGTTGTAGCCCTGACCAGGGATCGAACTGGGGCCCCCTGCATTGGGAGTGTGGAGTCTTAACCACTGGACCACCAGGGAGGTCCCAGGATAGCTTCCTTTAGGAGGCTTTCATGTGGGACAGGAATCCTGAGGGTGGTGTGAAATAGGGAACAAGCTGGTTCTGTTGGGCCTGACGGTCTACCCTCCCCCACCTGCACCACCTCTCACCTCCTCAGGCTGGAAATGTGTCCTGCATCTCCCCCGAGTGTCCTCCCGGCCCCTGTCAGGCCTCCCTGAAGTCGGATTGCTGTACTTGTGTGCCAGGTAAGGGACTCTTTGTGGGGAGAGGACAGGGTGAATTTAGCTTTTTTGTAAAAAATGACGGGGGTGGAGCGGTGTCTTTCGAGTATGGGTTTTTTTTGGGGGGGGGGGTGAGTGGGGGAGAGAGGAAGGAGATTGATTTCTGCTTTAGAAACTCAGATCAAATGAAGCGTTTCAAAGTGCCCGTTTTAATTGAGCACCTACTGTGTGCATAGTGGTTTGGATGCTAGATTGGGCTCACAGCCCAGCCTGCCCCCTGCTGGGGTTGGTGCCTTTAACACAGACAGGAAGGGGTTTGGGTCCACCCTTGGTGTGGCTCTGTCCCGAGGCTGGGAGGGTGTCTCCCCTGCCCCACTAATGAGTTAGTCTTTTGTTAAAATGTGGTTCTCTTTCCTGAGATGACCTCATGGCCGTCACTGCTGGCTCTGGGCCGTTGTTCTGTGGGGCCCTTGCCAGTCCTGATCTCATTGAATCTGTGTGGTGCAGCCCTGAGGGAGTACTATTCATAGCCCCATTTTATAGATGAGGAAACTGAGGCTCAGAGAGGTCATCACTGCCCAAAGACACACCAGTGAGTAAAGGAGCAGAGCTTGAACTCAAGCTTACCTGATTTCAAAGCTAGTGTTCTTATTAAATACTATTTTTCCCTTGACTTTTGAATGCTGTTTTAATTTTATTTATTTAGTTATTTTTGCCATGCTGCACGGCATGTGAGATCTTAGTTCCCCGACCAGGGATCGAACCTGCGCCCATGCATTGGAAGCGCAGAGTCTTAACCACTGGACCACCAGGGAAGTCCCGAATGTTATATTAGTTTTAGTTAAAACAGTTTTTGAACAGGCAATATACTCCCTGTGAGGTAGGAATTGTTAATCCCATTCTACAGATGAGAAAACTGAGGCTTAGGAGAGTTTAAGTATCTTGCCTGTAGTGAGTTATGTGGCTGGGATTTGAACCCAGTGCCCTCTGATTAAAGTCAGGTGGGCCCCGGCAGTTTTTTTTTTTTTTTTTTGCGGTACGCGGGCCTCTCACTGCTGTGGCCTCTCCCATTGCGGAGCACAGGCTCCAGACGCGCAGGCTCAGCGGCCATGGCTCACGGGCCCAGCTGCTCCGCGGCATGTGGGACCCTCCCGGACCGGGGCACGAACCCGTGTCCCCTGCATCGGCAGGTGGACTCTCAACCAGTGCGTCACCAGGGGAGCCCCCGGCAGGTTTTTAAGGTTGCTTTTACCAGCAGGGATGGGGGAATCTTCAGATGAGAGGCTCTCACTGAATCCTCCCTGCCTCCAGGGGCTGGCAGCATTCCCAGACCTTCCTGTAGGTGTCTGGGGCCATCTTTTTTCATTTCTTCTTTTCTCTTACTCTTTAGTTATTCCGGGCTTCCCATCCTTCTTGGTTAAGGACCTTATTTTGCATGTGGTTCATTCTGTCAGTTTTTTTTTTTTTTTTGGCCGCACCGTTAGGCATGTGGGATCTTAGTTCCCTGAGCAGGGATTGAACCCGTTCCCCCTGCATTGGGAGCTCAGAGTCTTAACCACTGGACGGCCAGAGAAGTCCCTCTCTGTCAGTTTTTAACTACTGGTGTACCTTTAGGTGAGGGTTTGGAGGGGAGCAGCGATTGGGCTCTTGGGTGTGGGTGTGCCGTGGAGTATTGTGGGGGTGTGTTTTCTTCCCAGAGACCCCCCCCCATTTGCTCCCCCTTTTCTTTAGCTGCCCAAAGACCTTGAGCTGCCTCTTCCTTTCTCCTCCGCAGTGAGATGCTATTTCCATGGCCAGTGGTATGCAGACGGGGCTGTGTTCAGTGGTGGTGGTGACGAGTGTACCACCTGTGTCTGCCAGGTAGGGGGCTGAGTGGGTGGGTGCTGGGGAGGGGCAGGGCACACAACACTCTCAGGATGCCTTGACCAGGAGAAGAGGAGCTGCCATGCAGCAAAAGGGAAACTGAGGCGAGAAAGAGCCTAAAGGGCCTTAGCATTCACCAAGGCCTTCCTGCAGTCTCCTTGAAGTTCGTCCTTCAGCATTGCTATTTATAGAGCACCTACTGTGTGCCTGGGACAATGCTGGGTGCTGGGGACGCAGTTGAGCACAAGACAGCCCCAGCCCCCTCTGTCAGGGGCCCACAGCTAGGTGGGCAATGGACAGGGGAGCGGGGCTCTTAACCAGAGTGTGGGCTTCAGGGAAGCGTACTTGGAGGGAGGGCTGCTAAGCTGAGACCTGAAGGATAACTAGGACAACCCGGTGAGGAGCTGAGACAGGTGTGCCCGGCAGAAGGCACTGCGTGAACAGAAGGCAGGAGGCGGGAGAGAGCAGGGCATGTTCTAAGGCCTGGGGGTGTGCATTCCGGCTGGAGCCCGGACCGCGAGAGGGACTGGAAATGCGGCTGAGGTGGGGATCCTGTTTGGGCTGAGTTCCAAGAACAGGGCCTGGGGTGGGCTTCTCGTGTAAGTGGTTTTCTGAAGGAGTGCTCGCGGGAGAGACTGGCTGGGGAAGCAGGTCAGGCAGGGGGAGGGGCCACGAGAAGGGGGTCTCGGGCTGATGCCACGGGGAGCTCTGGAGCGTGAGTGGCACCGCAGAGGTGGGTGTGTCCAGAGGCCAGGGAGCTGGGTTCTTCTGCCCCCAGCATCAGGTGGTTGTAGGTACTTCCTTGCTCCCTGGGGAGTGGGGGTGAACGAACCATCCAGGCGCCTGGAGGACGTGACCTTCATCAGCCAAGGGGCCGTGCTTAGGGGAGGGGGTCTGCGAGGGGGCGGCGACAGCCTGTGCGTCAGTCTCAGTCATGAAGGGCTTTGCCAGCCAGGCAGAGGGTTTGGACTTGGCGAGCTGCCCAGGGTTTGAAGTGGTGGAGTGTTGTGATCGGACTGGTGTCTGAGAAAGTTCTCTGGCTGCAGGTGAGAGTGGATTGGAGTGAGAGCAGAAAGCTATTGCAGAGGTGAGAGGAAGAGATTCTGGAGGCTTAAGCTAGGGCAGCCGGGGACCCAGCAGCCATGCAGCCGCCGTATTCCTGGGACCCTCTCCCAGCCTCACCCCAGCCCCCAGGGAAGGACTCACCGTTCCTTCCACTCTTGCTCCCTGGAGATCTGTCACTTTTTTTTTTTTTTTTTTTTGCTGTACGCGGGCCTCTCACTGCTGTGGCCTCTCCCGTTGTGGAGCACAGGCTCCGGACGTGCAGGCTCAGCGGCCATGGCTCATGGGCCCAGCCGCTCCGCGACATGTGGGATCTTCCTGGACCGGGGCACGAACCCGTGTCCCCTGCATTGGCAGGCGGACTCTCAACCACTGCGCCACCAGGGAAGCCCGAGATCTGTCACTTGTAGGGGGATGATGGCAGCCTGCCAGCCTCCTCTTTGGCCCTCACTGGTTTGTGCCCCCTGGCTCTCTTCCAGAACGGGGAGGTGGAATGTTCCTTCACGCCATGTCCAGAACTGGATTGCCCCCGTGAGGAGTGGTGGCTGGGCCCTGGGCAGTGCTGCTTCACCTGCAGGGAACCCGCACCCATGACAGGTGAGGCCGCTTAGCCCTGCATCCCAGGCTGTACCCAACACAGGCCTGGATGCCCGAGCCGGGGGAGGCTGAGCTTCTCCCGCTGAGACTGTGTGTGTGCGTGTGAGTGCTCTCTGTGTGTGTTGTGTGTGTCTGTGTGTGTGCTTTAAGTTTGTATGTGAGTGACATCTGTGTGTGAGCTTGTGTACATGTGTCTGCGTGTTTGTGTGTGAGTGGTGTCTGTGTGTGTTTTTGAGTGTGTGTGTCCGTGTGTTTTTGTTGTGTGTCTGTTGTATCTGTGTGCGTGTGTCTGTGTGGGAGTGGTTTCTGTGTGTGTGAATGGCTGTGTTTGTGGGTGTGTGTGGACGTGGACGTTTGTGTGAGCGTGCCTGTGTGTACCAGGCTCTTGTTAGGCAGGAAAACTCACTAACTGAGGGAGCCAGGCGGCAGCAGCAGGCAGCTCTGGGCCCAGTGGGTGGCTGCGTGGACTCAGTGTGAGTGAGCAGAGGTGTCTGTCTGTCCTTGCTGGGTGGCGCTGTAGGTCCCGCGGGCATTCAGGACCCTCCTCGGCACTTCTGCCCACTCGTCCTTTCTCCCCCGCTGTCCCCTGGCCAGGCTGCTCTCTGGACGACAACGGGGTTGAGTTTCCGGTCGGACAGATCTGGTCTCCCGGTGACCCCTGTGAGTTATGCATCTGCCAGGTGAATGACAACCTGCGCGCCTTCAGCTGCTTCCCCCGCCCTTCCCCGTCCCGGGCCGGGCATCCCTGCCCCTGCAGAAGCGGGGCCACCTCAGGCCTGTCCCAGTCTCGCTTCCATGCTATCACATCCCGTTTTTACAGAAGGGGCTGGGATCCAGGTTCTTCTGTCCTCGGTAGATTTTCAGGATGACAGAGCTTGGCAGTCTGTCTGTCGTAAGAGTGCTGTGTGACCCACTGTGCACGTGCGGGGAGCTGCTGGCCTAAGGAGCTGGAAATAGGATTCCCAGGAGCAGGTTTTCGCGGGGCACGGATAACAGAGGGAGCTGGGCAGCCCGATGCCTAGTAGTTAAGGCCTTTTCTGTGAAATTGCGAGGCTTCCTCCATTAATGTGAGTCACGTGACCTCACCTCATCAGAAGCGGGTGAGGGTGCGTGAGTTTTGAGAGTCAGATTGACAGACATGCAAACACAGCTATTTACCGAGAAATGTGATCGTTTTAGCTCACGTTTAAGTACGGTCGGCTTTCCTTTCTACTTTAGGAGAGCTTTTAGTCGCTTGAGCTTAGAGCTTTATTTCTCAAAATGAGGTTCCTGCACTGGCTGTGTCGTTGGCGTCACCAGGGGAGCCTAGGTAGAACCTCAAGGCTGCCCAGGGCTCGGACGCAGAATCTGCATTTTAATCCCCCGGTGACTCGCGTGCACGTGAGCGCGTGAGAAGCGCGACCTTCAAGTCCCTTTGATGCACCATTTGTTAAAAAAGCCTTAGACCCTTAGAAAACTTGGAAACGTTTCATTGGAATCAGAGTGGGGAGCAGAGTACATCCGCTGCCCTTTTTCTCCTTCAGGACTGATCTAGGGCACTCACATTACAAGGAAATAACACAAAACTTCAACTTCTTACGGAAAAAAAAAAGAAACTGGATATGGCACTTTCATCTTCTGAAAGACATTTCCGGTGGAATAGCTTTCTATAAAAATAGGATTTTATTGGACTCCATAGATTTGGGGTGAGCCAGGGTTTCAGGGAAACTCTGAGAAGAGTTTGGATGAGGTTGTGGTGCAGCCTTGGCTGCTGCGGGGAAGGGACGGGAAGCCGAGGAGACCAAAACCCCAGCTCTGGGATATGGGAAGGCTTTTCTCTGGAAGGCTCACACCCCCTTTCCCAAGTAGCCAGTCCTCTTTGGGGGGAACCCCTGCCGCTTTCCAGCTGCATCATGGCGTCTCTTAGGTCAGGCTCCGGCCAGTTTGCAGCACCGTCCTTTCTTTTGGGGGCCTGTGGGGTGGGGAGGTGGGGACTGGCGTGGCAGGTGGGGTCTTGGTGAAGTTCTTCCTCCCTTCAGGCAGATGGTTCAGTGAGCTGCAAGAGGACAGACTGTGTGGACTCCTGCCCTCACCCGATTCGGATCCCCGGGCAGTGCTGCCCTGACTGTTCGGCAGGTAAGGCCCTGCCTGGGGGGCCGGGGATGGCATAGCACCCCTGGCCCCCACATCTGGGGTCACCCTGTATCAGGCTTCTCTGTGCAAAGCACCACACATGCTTCATCTCTGCTTATCCTCGCAACAACCCCATGGGGCAACCCCATTTTAGAGATGAGGAAACTGAGGCTCAGGGACGGAAAGCAGTTTGCTCAAGGGAGGCCCTGTCTGGGTGCTGGAAGCAGATATGAAGATATGCAGAGCTTGCAGCCTAGGTGGGGTGATAAAGGAACATACCTGTGAGACAATTAGAGAACAGGGAGAGGAAATTAAAGTGATCCTTTATGTGTTAATAGTAATTTTCACCTTTTCCATTATTTCAAGAGTGATATTTTATTATAGAACATTTAGAAAATACAGAAAGCAAAGAAAAAAATTAAAAAGGACCCATTATCACTGTTAACTTCATGGTTTTATCTTCCTAGTCTCTTTTTGTGATATAACATCTATCTCTATAACATATCTGTAACGTACATCTATGTCTATATATCTATCATGTCATAGATACATAGCATATCATAGTTGTATGTTATATCTTTTTTCTTCTTTTCTGGCCGAGCCACACGGCTTGTGGGATCTTAGCTCCCTGACTAGGGATGGAACCCGCACCCTTGGCAGTGAAAGTGTGGAGTCCTAACCACTGGACTGCCAGGGAATTCCTTATATATTTTTTCTTATAAAATGTTTCTCTACTGTCCCATCACCTGCTTTTTTTTTTTTTTTTTAATACATTTATTTATTTATTTTTTAATTTTAGCTGCACTGGGTCCTTGTTGCTGTGCGCGGTCTTCCTCTAGTTGCAGCGAGCGGGGGCCACTCTTCATTGCAGTGCGCAGGCTTCTCATTGCGGTGGCTTCTCTTGTTGTAGAGCATGGGCTCTAGGTGCGTGGGCTTCAGTAGTGTGGCATGTGGGCTCAGTAGTTGTGGCTCGCGGGCTCTAGAGTGCAGGCTCAGTAGTTGTGGTGCTCGGGCTTAGTTGCTCCATGGCATGTGGGATCTTCCTGGACCAGGTCTTGAACCCGTGCCCCCTGCATTGGCAGGCGGATTCTTAACCACTGTGCCACCAGGGAAGCCCACCATCACCTGCTTTTATATGTACCAGTATGTGATAAATATCATCGAGGTGGCAGCACTCAGATGGGGCCTCTGTGGGCTTCGGGAAGCAGAGAGCGGAGCTGTAGGGGAGCCTCCTGGAAGGAGGGGTTTGGGATTCGACTGAGTGGAGAGGAGCAGAGAGGATGGCCGTGGTGCCTGGCACCCAGGTTGAGTCTCCGGGTCCCTCATCCTGATCCTGCCAAGTGAGGGGGTGGGAGGAACGGCTCCCTTCCCTGGGGGAGAACCTTGAAGTGAAGACACTATGATCCCTTTGCTGAATCCAGCGAGAAACAAGTCAGCACCCAATCCAGACATATGTTCTGTCCCTTCCCCAACCCCCTGGGCAAGTGTCTAGAGAGGCCATTCGCCTGACCTTTGCTGCCTAGAAACACCTTGGACTTTCTTCCTGGCAAAGGCCAGCCGTCCCCTGGCTGGCCCTCACCACATGCTCTCTCTGGCAGGCTGCACCTACACAGGTAGAATCTTCTACAATAACCAGACCTTCCCGTCCGTGCTGGACCCGTGTCTGAGCTGCATCTGCCTGGTACGACCACCCAGACCCGACCCCTGTCTGCGGAAACTCCCCAGAAATAGCCACCAGCTCCTGAACCCTGCAGGCAAAATCCAGAGACCTCCAAGAGAATGGTCACTTGTGGATCATGGTGAAATCCGGCTTCCTTCAGCCCTGCCTGGGGTGATTCTTTACCCAGGGCCAGAGAAATACTTTTAACCCTGCCTGGCAAAAGTCCTCTGCTTCTGGGTGACCAGGGAGGGTCTTGGGGGCCTTACGGTATAAAATATGGCCCAGGGATTCTCCCTGAGAGTGGAGGTGAGGAACACAAACCCAGGACTCTGTACGGAACCTTTAATATGCTCACATTCTCGAGCCCCTGCCATGTGCCAGTCCCTGATCTCAGCACGACCTGTTAATTCACGGGGAATCCTATGAGGTGGGTACCTCCATCCCCAGCTGCTAGGTGAGACAGCCGGGCACAGAGACCCCGCAACTAGTCAAGCGAAGTGTCGAGAATCAATTCTAGTCTCCTGAGTCCGCTTCAGACAGCACACTTTTATCCCTAAGCCATACTGCCTCTCAGTCTAAATGACAGGCATATCATTTAGTATTTGGAAAATGGAAAAAATAAGTCCTTATTGCTTGTCATGCTAGAAGTGTTTCATGCCTATGGGGCTTCTTTGCTGGCGGTGGGTGAAAAGGGATGGGTCTGCAGAAAGATCGAGCAACTTGGGGTGAACATCTGTGGCCTCTGAGTGGCCCTGTTCGTTCACAGCCATGTGCTTTGGGGAGCTTTGGCTTCTGGGTCCTTCCCTCTGTATTTTTGGTGCTCAGCTTTCCTGGGAAGTTCATGGATTTGTTTGACAGGTAGCTGTTGACAGTTGAGCTCTGAGGACAAGGCTGGGCCCGGGGGGCTTGCGTTCTAGTGGGAGGACAGACTCTACCTCAGTCTGTCACCTCACCATGGACCTCTCACCTGACGTTGATGGTTCCGATGGGCACTTAATGGCTATGTGATGTGTCCTTCACGAGTGACCCATCAGCCCCCCAGAACAAAGGGCCTTCAGTGTTTTCTGTGTCCTGCAGCTGGGTTCGGTGGCCTGCTCGCCCGTGGACTGCCCCATCACCTGCTCCTACCCTTTCCACCCTGACGGGGAGTGCTGTCCAGTGTGCCGAGGTGAGTGGGGCCAGCCACCCCTCGTGCAAGGCTCCTGAGTGGGCCTTGGCTCTCACGGCCCCTGTCTCCTCTGCCCCTGCAGACTGCAACTACGAGGGGAGGAAGGTGGGGAACGGCCAGGTGTTCACCTTGGACGATGAGCCCTGTACCCAGTGCATATGCCAGGTGAGCTGGGCCTGGGGACCCTGGACCTGCTGGGCCAGGGGCTGCTTCTAGCCTTTTGTCCCTTTGTGAAACTTGGAGCCCCTTAGCCAGTGTACGCCCGTCTTCCGCCTGCCATTCTTCAACTTCAATTACCTGCGGGGATACCTTCGGATTTGATGGTGTCCTCTACCTTTGTTGTTTCCTTAAGGCAGCCCCACTGTGTTTGGCTTCACCTGTTGTTCAGGTGAGGGTCAGGCCCTGCAGCTTCTGCCCCAGATCTTTCCGTGGGTCCAACTGCTGGTGTAATATGTCCTTGAGGGCGCTGCTGTGGAGGGGTGAGATGCTCCGGGCTTCCTCACGTGTCTCCTTCTGCTTCCCCAGTTGGGAGAGGTGAGCTGCGAGAAGACGCCCTGCCAGCAGGCCTGCTCGGACCCCTCCACGCCCCCCAGGGACTGCTGCTCCTTCTGTCCAGGTAAGTGGCCTCTGCATCCTGGAGCCTCACCACCGTCCTTTTCCACTTTGCTTTTCTGCCCAGAAACACAGAACTTGTACAGGGCTGGATGTGAGAAACCCAGGCTCAGAGAGGGAACGTGGCCTGCTCAAGGTCACACAGCCAGCACGTGGTGCGCCCAGGCCCAAGCCTGGGCTTGCTGACCCTCGTCAGTGCTATGCCACAATGCGCCATGCCGTCTGACGAGTCTGTTTACTGTTCCTTTTTCTTCTTCATTTCCTCCTTTCTGAATCTCTCCCTCTGCTTTCTTCCTTCTTTAAAAATTAGAATTTAGGAACTGAATCAACTTTGCAGAAGAATAATTGCTAATATGTATTGAGTATCCATTATGTGTCAGGGAACATCATGTATTGAATGTTATTTCTTTTTTTTTAATTGTGGTGTAATTGACATGTAACATTATATTGGTTTCAGGTGTACAACTTAAAGATTCAAACTTGTATATATTGCAAAATGATCACCACAGTAAGTCTAGTTAACATCTGTCACCCCACATAGTTACAAAATATTTTTTTCCTGTGATGAGAACTTCTATGATCTAATCTCTTAGCAACTTTCAGGTATAGTATTTCAATACAGTATTATTAACAATAGTCACCATGCTGTACATTATATCCCAATGACTTATTTATTTTGTAACTGAAAATTTGTGCCTTTTGACCCTTCAGCCATTTTGCCCACCCCTCTCCTCCCACCTCGGGCAACCACCAACCTGTTCTCAATATCTGTGTGCTCAGCTGTTTTTTTTTTACAAATCGATTCCACATATAAGTGAGATCATATGGTATTTATCTTTCTCTGATTTATTCATTTAGCATAATACCCTCTAGGTCTATCCACGTTATTGCAAATGGTAAGGTTTCATTCTTTTTTGTGGTTGAATAATATTCCATTGCGTATATATATACACACACCACATATTTATCCATCTTTATCTGTCGATCGACACTTAGGTTGTCCCCATGTCATGGCTATTGTAAATAATGCTGCAATGAACCTTGGGGTGCATATATCTTTTTGAATTAGTGTTTTCATTTTTTTTTGGATATATACCCGGTAGTGGAATTGCTGGATCATATGGTAGTTCTATTTTTAGTTTTTTGAGAAACCTCCATACTGTTTTCCACCGTGGCTGCACCAGTTTACATTCCCACCAACAGTGCACGAGGGTTCCCTTTTCTCTACTTCCTTACCAACAGTTGCTGTATCTTGTCTTTGTGATGATAGCCATTCTGACGGCTGTGAGGTGGTATCTCATTGTGGTTTTGATTTGCATTTCCGTGATGATTAGTGATGTTGAGCATCTTTTCATGTTCCTGTTGGCCATCTGTTTGTTTTCATACGTCTTATTTCATTTTCACAGCAACTCTTTGTGATAGATACTATTAGCATCCCCATTTTCCAGGTGAGGAAACTGAGGCACAGAGAGGTGAAGTGAGGTGCTCAAGGTCACACAGCTGGTTGGCAGTAGAACCAGGATTTGAGCCCAGAGTCAATGCTTTTAGCTACTCTGCTACATTGACTCCTGAAAATGATTCACATCTGTTCGTCTCTCTCTATCATGAGTGTTTGTTCATGTGGATCTTTTTGCAGAGGTATAAACAGGACATGGACAACCTACTGTAACACACAGTTTCAAAATATTGATGTAGCCCACAGCTGGCCATTTAAAAACGCTCCCAAATATTATGGTTTGCTTACCCCTTCCCTTTTTGGTTGACATTTAGGTGGTTTCTTTTTTCCTCTTCTTTTTTTTTTTTTTCTATCCATAGTGGACCCACTGTGAAAAATCTTTGGTCAGACAACTTTTGTTTTCAAATTTTGTGAGTTGCATTCAGACCCTGTGGTTAATAGGTGCAGTAACTAGGTCACAGGGTGTCGGGAGTGGTTTGGTGACTCCTAGGGCATGACAGCAGGTTACCAGATGGGGTCCTAGAGAAAGGGGAAACTTACAGAGACATAGCTGGTGCCCCATATGCCCACCAACTCTACACTGTGTGTTTTGAATTTAATTTTTCCAGGTTAACATGTCCATAAAGTACCTTACCGCTGGCTATTGTACATTTTTTAAACTTCCAGGAAGACAGTGAATTTTTCCACGGATTTGTGGCCTGAATTTCCTCTTGTATAAAATACCTCTTTAACTCCTTTGACCTTTTGAAGAGGACATCCTGTATTTAGGGCAGCTCTTCAGTTCTGTGGATGGAGAGAGGCTGTCAGGACTGCTGGGGCTGGAAACATCCTGATCCCATACAGTCATTATGTTGGGAACTGCTGAGTGATTATAGATTCGACCTTAACCAGCACAAAACCCTCTGCAAGCTGAGGGATACTATTCCCCTGCTTTCTAGAGACTAATCGTTAGCTAAGGTGCCAGGCAGTGTATGGAGCCTTTTACCTGTATTGTCTCATTTAAATGCCCCAGGAATGTTTATGCATGGGTGCTCTTATTGTCTCCATTTTGCAGATGGGGAAATGGAGGCTCAGAGAAGTTAAGTTTCTGTCTTTTTAAAAAGAATTTATTTATTTAAAAAATTTTTTTGGCCGTGCCGCACAGCTTATGGGATCTTAGTTCCCCAACCAGGGATGGAACCCGGGCCCCATGCAGTGGAAGTGCCAAGTTCTAACCACTGGGCCGCCAGGGAATTCCCAAGTTTCTGACTTTAAGGCCACGTTCTAGGTGGTAGTGTCGTCGGACTCAGGGCCAGGTCTCTCTGATTCCTCGCCCCATGCTCGTTCCCATTCTGCTCTCCTGCCTCCTGATGGGGAAACTGAGGATGAGATGCAGAGCCCACCTCCTTCTCCTGGGGCACCTGCCTCAGCTGCGTTCACCATGTGCGAACTTGTTTTAAGAAGAAATGCTTTTTACTGAAATACGAGGTGAATTAAAAAAAAAATAGAACAGCTGTCTTGAGATATAATTCACACACCCTGTAAGTCACACGCTCAAATTACACAATTCAGTGGTTTTTGGTAAAGTGGTTTTTGTGATTATCCTTTTGATGGTTTATATATATATTTCAATTGAGGTATATTTGATGTACAATATTATATAACTTTCAGGTGTACAGCAGGGTGATTCACAATTTTTAAAAAAGTTATAGGTTATCTTTTGATGATTTTTAAAATGTAATCATTCCAGTTTGTAATGTGTTTACCAGCCTCCGTCTCCTCCCTGATCATACCTTTCTCCAATATTCTTCCTTCCTTCCCTTGTTCTCCCGCCATGGATTAAGCCCTTATGATGCGCTGGCCTCCAGGCTGAGACTTAAAAGCAAATTTTTTCAATAGACTTTTTTTTTAAAAGCATTTTTAGGTTCACAGCAAAATCGAGCAGAATGTACGGACAGCTCCCCGAATCCCCCTGCCCCCGCCCCACGCACAGCGCCCCCTGCTGTCGACATCCCCCACCAGATGGTACATTTGCTACAATCAATGAACCGACTCTGACCCGTGGTTGTCACCCAAAGTCCAGAGTTTACATTTGGGTTTAGGCTGAGACCTCTCAGGCTCCGTTTCATTCAGTCCTCATTGCGTGGCCTGTGTGGTCATCACTGTTATTATGATGCCCATTTTACAGATGGGGAAATGGAGGCCCAGGGGAGTTATGTGCCTCATACAAGGTCACACAGCCAGTGCCTTGGTGAACTGTCTCTCTCTGCTCATGGTTCCTTTTGGGTCTTCCCTTTCCTGGAGACAGGAGCCGGTGGGATCCCCCAACCCCAATGGCCGGTGCACAGGGACCCTTAAGGGCCAGAGCTGGGGCACTGTCCTCGGTGCAGCTCATCCCAGACCTGCCTCAGTCGTAGGGGAGAACCATTGTGCATCTTCTTGCCCCGCCCCCTCTCTAGATTCCCTGGAAGAAAGCCGGGGTCTCTCCCCTCGTGGAGACGTTGAGCTCAGCAAAGTGGCCCGGACCCCCCGTGGAGACCCTGAGGCCCTGCTCAACTGCAGCTCCTGCCCGGGGCCCCCAGCGGTGTCACCTCGGAGGCCAGCGCTGCAGCTCCTCCAGCTCCTCCTGAGAACAAACCTGTCTGACATGCAGACTATACCCGTGAGCCCCTCAGGAGCCCAGGCCTTACCCTCACCCCCTTTGGGGCCAGGGGGCATGTTCCCAGGGGAGCCCGGGGCCTCCCAGCCCTCTTGGCCCTCACCAGGGCCTTCAATCCCTCCAGGAGCCTCCTCTCTACCTCCGGCCTCTCCCGGGGCTCCCGGGCCACCTCCTGTTACTCCAGAGCCCTCGTCCTCGGCCTCCGGGGCCCACACAGCATCCAGACAGCCTTCTCTGCCTGCCACCATCCGGCGTAGAGCCTCAGCCCTTTCCACGATGGACCCCAGCCCCTCAGAGGCCACCGTCACTATCCTCAGGCCTCGCAGGCTCTCTCCAGCCACCTCCAGACTCTCTGCAGCCCTTGCAGCCACGGCCAGCCCTGGCCCCCAGGAGCCCACCATGGGGCCCTCACAGGAGGAGTCCACAGTGTAAGCAGGACTCCGTTGCAGGGCCGTGCCCGGGAGACGCCAGACAGAGAAGGCTCTGCCAGAGGCCCTGGGAGCTTGCAGGGCGGCTCTGGGGGCCAGTGAGGCTGCCGACTCCTTCAGGACCCCTGGCGGGGATGGAAAACCCTCAGGGCCCGATGTAGCCTTGCTCCCAAGAAGCATCTGGGATGTGTTGTGAGACTCCAGCAACACGTTCTCCACCGTCAGCATCCTCCCTGGACTGCGTGGGCCGCCTGTCTTCTGAGAAAGGTTGGGGCAGCTGAGTCCCTCTGGAGCAGGAGGGTCCGAGGGGCCTGGGATTCCACTGAGATTGTGCCACCAGCTGTCATGTGTCCTCACCCGAGGTTTCCTGATTAAAATCTGTCTCGGTCTCCCCCAGGCTGCCCTGCTCATTCACTTCTCGCCTTTGGACAGGTGGGAAAACGTCACTGCAAGCCCACAGGTGATGAGCTAGTGCCCACCTCAACCCCCAGCTCAGGAGAAAAGCCTGCAGAGACCTGGGGCTAGATGGGGAGGGGTCTTAGGTAAGTACCTGGTGGCCTGTGATGCTAGGAGACTTCTGAAGTGAGGGGCCGGAAAAGGCGGATGGGTTCCCTGGGAGGGAATAGTAGGCAGGTGGAGTCTTAGGACCTGTGCTTAGCTTTAACATCTGTGGGCCGAGGGAGGCAAGCAGGAGGCAGGGGTGGGCCCGGCAGTGGCACGGTCTCAGCCAACCCCCTGTGGAGCTCTGAGGCTGGGCTGGCCTTCAGAGTCAGCCCGAGTTGGGACAAGGGGACAGGGCTTTGTGCCCCCATGTTGGCCAGTAATTCTGTCTGTGGGAAGCGGGCCCAGGAAAGGGGTGTCAGCCAAGGCAGTTCCCTGTGAGGGCTGGTGGCTGAGAGCTGTCAGTCAGCAACCTTCCCTGCGGCTGGGGTAATAAATGCGTCTGTCCTGAAGGGGGCATCTGGACGGTGTGGCCCAGTTTCCATGACAGCTGGAAAGAGGACAGTGCTAGCATTGATGGGGGAAAGTGAGATGGGGGTGGAAGACAGAGAGCTATGCTGTCACCGTGTCACCAAACTTGCTATCCCTGAAACCCAAGGGGGCTGCAGAGTAACCCGCGCCTACACTGGCCCAGGCCATCCTCCCCTTGCCTCTTCTCTGCCCTGATGCTCACCATGTATCCCAGCGGGGAGTGTCCCCAGGGGGCACTGGCTGCAAAGGCCATCTGGGTTATCCGCCCCAGGTGTCAGTGTAGGGAGGGGTCCTAATCCAAGCAGGATGGCAGGAATAATGAATTTGGAATTAGGAGCATGAAAACCAAAGACTTTAGGGATGCAAAGGACTTAGAGACCATCTTACTTAGAGACCAGTTAAGACACAAAGGGTGTGGTTGAATGAGGGCTGGGGTGCCGTGAAACCCCTGTTTGAGCCCTACTTGCTGTGACTAGCTGTGAGAGCTTAGGTCTCGGTTCCCTCATCTGTATAATGGGCTCACAACAGTCCTTCCTCATGGAGTTGAGATGACAGCATATAATACAGACTCCATAAGTCTCGGGGCTTTGTGCTTGTGACCTTGTGCAGCCCACCCAGCTTCATGATGCCACTTGGGATCTAACTTCAGGATGAAAGTGTAGAACACTGATTGGCTCTGCTCTTCAAACAAGCCAGCTCTCGACATGGTAGAGGCTCAGCGTCAGTGCCAATTTTCTCACCGCTATCCCTCTGTTCAACAAAGGATGCAATTCAAGTTTTAATACTAGTCTCCCCTCTCCACAGAACTCAGGTAAATAGTGTTCATTTTGAATATTAAAAAGAATAAAAGGCTGGGGTGGGGAGTTCCCTGGTGGCCTAGTGATTAGGACTCCACACTCTCACTGCCAGAGCCTGGGTTCAATCCCTGGTCAGGGAACCGAGATCCTGCAAGCAACGCGGCACGGCCATAAAAAAAAAAAAAAAAAGGGTTGGGGGTGGGGGGGGGGGGGACAGCTGTAGACACTTCCCTCAAGTCGGTCCAAGTATAAAAACATGACTATCTGAGACACTCCCATTCCCCGCTTACAGCTGAGACCACAGAAGCCCAGAGAGGTCAGGAGAGTGTCCGAAGGTTGCACAGACTAGGAAGGCTGATCTGGGAGGGGGGCTCTGGGATTTGGACTCCCAGCCTGGGCTTTTCCCCTTCAAGTTGCATTTGGTTGGCTTGTTCCGTTGGAGTTGCAGAGAGACTCTTGATGGCTGCAGTTTATTCAAGGTGCCAAGACCGCCGTATCTTAGTTTGAGCTCTCCAAGGGCAGACCCGGAGAGAGAGAGAGATTTGGGTGAGAGTCGCTGCCCCGGAAGGTGAACCCAGAGAGCATGGTGAGGGAGAGCGAAGGGAGACAGAGAAGGGAAGAAAACCAATCAGCTTTGGTTAAAGAGTGGGTCCCTGCCACGGGCAACTTGCACCCCTTCCTCCTGCGGACCCTCTGGGAGGTCATGGAGCACACACCTCGGAATTGTCCCCCGAAGGCCTGAGGACGCCACTCTTGTCCCTCTCTTGCTCATGGGCTCCTGTTGGCTCTCCAGCATGTCCAGCTGGCCTCACCCAAGGATCATGCCTGCCTCCTGTCTGCTCGCTCTGGGCATAAGAAGACCTGGGGCATGGGGTTGGAGAGGAGGTGCAGGGGCTGCCTCCAGAGCACCCCGTGGCTGGGCCAGGGCTCTCACCACACCGTGGTCACCGCAGGCCCTTCTCAGGACCATTGAGGGGAGCTCGGAGCTCTCCTCCTGCCCCTCTCCCCACCCCCCCGACCCCCCACCCTGTGGGTAGGCAGTGCCATTGTGACATGTTGGGAGGCCTTGGTGGGACCCAACTTGGCAAGAACGTGTTCTGCTGGCGATAAGCCCCAGCGTGACGCCCCCTGCCCAGCACTGACTGGCACCAGGAGGCCAGAAGACCACCTTCAAGACCCTACATGGGCACAGAGTGCTTTTTTTCTTTTTGCCACACCACTCGGCTTGCGGGATCTTAGTTCCCTGACCAGGGATCGAATTCTGGTTCATGGCAGTGAAAGCACCAAGTCCTAACCGCTGGACCACCAGGGAATTCCCGGGCACAGAGTGCTTTTAACGAATGCATGAGCTGGTCTGAATTCTTAGCAGCCTGGGTTCCGACAAGCAGGTGTGTGTGTGCGGGCTGTTTGTTCTTGGGGAAGTACACCCTGCATTTCCCCCTAGCTAGGAGTCCATATGTCGGGTTCTAGGAAGCACGAGAGCAGTGGTCCCCAGCAGTTTGGCACCAGGGACCGGTTTCGTGGAAGACGGTTTTTCCGCGGGGTAGCGGAGGGTTGGTTCAGGCGGTGACGGGAGCAACGGGGAGTGATGGGAAGCGGAAGATGAGGCTTCGCTTTCTTGCCTGCCGCTCGCCTCCTGCCGTGCGCTACGGTCCGTGGTCCAGGGATTGGGGACCCCTGCAGTAGAGGACGGGGACGGTGGGCTGGAGCCTGTTCCACAGGGTCAGTTTCACGGGACCTAGGAAATTCCCGACAGGCCAAATGATCGGACCCGGTTCAAGAGACCTGCTTTTGGAGTTTATCAGATAAACGGGCTTGAGGACAACTACAGTAGGTTTCAAGTTAGGATAAACTTTCAGAGGTTTAAAAATGCCTTTCATTAACTTATTTTGAATGTGTAGTACATCCCATCACTAGAAATAAAGATATATAAAAGTGTTTTAGTGAGGAGTCTCCCCAACCCCACATCCACCAAGGCTCCCCCTTCCCTCCCCACCACTTTTGTGGTGTCTGGTTCTTGGGTACCTTCCTCTGTTTCTTTACGTATGTGCAAGCAAATTGTATTTTCTTTATAATTCAAAGATAAAATAGCCGAGGCTCTGCTATCACCTGTGTTTCAGTTTGTGGTTTTACACCTAACGGTCTCTTCTCAAGATCTTTCTGTCCCAGTCCTTCGCGAGCATCCTCATTTCCTTGCTCTTTACAACTGCGCAGAGGCTCCTGTGCGCACGCAGCAGAAGTCATTGAACCATCCCCTGGGGGCGGACATTTGGGTCGTTTCAAATCTTGCTCTTACAAAAGATGCTACGAAGAGTAACCTTGGCCTTACATCATTTTGCACGTGTGCAAGTCTATGTTTAAGATAAATTCCCAGAAGTGAAGTTACTGGGCCGAAAGGTAAACACATTTCTCGTTTAGATGGATAGTGCCAAATGGCGCTCCTTAGGGGGTGTACCCATGGATGCCCCCTCCAGCGATGTGCAAGAGTCCATGTTCGGGAGGGCCTGGGTTCCACAGATCAGAGCAGAGACATATGAGATGAAAATAACGCTCCTGGGGGGCTTCCCTGGTGGCGCAGTGGTTCAGAGTCCGCCTGCCGATGCAGGGGACACGGGTTGGTGCCCCGGTCCGGGAAGATCCCACATGCCACGGAGAGGCTGGGCCCGTGAACCATGGCTGCTGAACCTGCACGTCCGGAGCCTGTGCTCCGCAACGGGAGAGGCCACAAGGGTGAGAGGACCGCGTACCCAAAAAAAAAAAAAAAGAAAAAGAAAATAACACTCCTGGGGAATTCCCCGGCGGTCCAGTGCTTAGGACTCGGCGCTTTCATTGCCATGGGCCAGGGTTCGATCCCTGGTTGGGGAACTAAGATCTTGCAAGCTGTGTGGTGCAGCAAAAAAACCCCAAAAACCAAAAACCAAAAAACACTAAAACCACTCCTGGACAACTATGAGTGGAAAAGATGGATTGAACTGAGCTTAGACCCCCGAGGCCCTCAGGAAATGGGGAAAGATGGGTGGGGAAGAGGCCTGAGACCGTAGAGGAGGAATGTGAATCCACCTCATCTTGTGGAGCAAAGTGTCAGATCAGATATGCTAGCGTGCGGTTTTCTAGTATAAATGAGCTAATGGGGATTCTTTGTAGATTCTGTCTGGATCCAAGAATCCCAGGGTTGAGGGGCTGAGAAGGGGGAACAAGGGGTTGGGGTCGGGGATGGTGCATCCCTGGAGCCTAGAATACTGCCTGGGGCACGGGAGGTGCTGGGGAAACAGCAGAAACACAAACACAGCAGAGCCAGGACATCATGGAATTCATCCCCAGAAGCCTGAGAATCCACCTGCTGGTCCCATGACCAAGTATGACTAGGACAGAATGTGAGTGGGGGTGACAGTGTACCCATCTGTGGTCTTTTTTAAAAAAAAATCAATTAATTAATTTTTGGCTGCATTGGGTCTTCGTTGCTGCGCGTGGGCTTTTCTCTAGTTGCGGAGACCAGGGCTACTCTTTGTTGCGGTGCGCGGGCTTCTCATTGTGGTGGCTTTTCCTGTTGTGGAACATGGGCTCTAGGCATGCGGGCTTCAGTAGTTGTGGCACACGGGCTTAGTTGCTCTGAAGCAT